TGCGGAAGGTACCATCTTCGTTGAAGATTTCATTGACGACGTCCCATGTTTTGATGCTCCCCTTGAAATGCGTGACCAGATTTGTAACATGATTTTCCAGGATAGAAACGAGTGTGGCATTGTCGAAACCTCCAGAAGAGACCCATGAGGGGAGTTGGCTGTGCCAAACTAGTCGATTGGTCAGTGGCAGTCAATTTTCAAACGGTATTGACCTACCCAAGGTGTGGCCACGGATCTCATAACCGTTTCCTTGAGCCCAAGTGACCAGAGCGTCGGCAGCAGAAAAGGTAAAAGTGCCCCGTGAAGGCTCTGTGGCATCCCATTTCATCTTGTTTCCAGGCGTTATTTGGCCTGAAAAAGGTATCAGCTCGTCTTCGGGTGACAACAGTCTAGTACCTACCGAATAGGTGAGTATTGTCGAGTAGGACCCTGTATGTCGCATTCGCCAACTCGTGGCTGTCTACCGCGACTCCAAAGTATTGCTTTCCAGCTGCTTTAGCGAGGTCGTTGAGAGGCGCGAGTGTGGGAGTGGCAGATGCCGATGTGCTGCTACTGCTGCTGGTAGAGGTAGACGAGATTACAGAGGTAGTACTAGTGCTTATGCTGGTAGTCGAGCTCGTTGTAGTGGTGGTACCCGTAAGTGCTTCAGCGATTCCATAAAAGGCCGGCTTAGGTTGCAAGTATTCGTCGAATGGAAGAGCGGCTCCCTGTAAGGCGAGTAAGATCACGAAACCCAGATAAAGTCGTCATTCACATACCTGTCCAGAGAATACACTCGGGATCCATGAGTAGTAATCAGAATACGCCCAAATGGTCACGCCGATGCACCCAGAGGTCTGAACGCAAGCGGCCACAACATTATAATAGTCCTTCTTTTGCTGAGCCAGGAGTGCGTCGGTGACAGGGAGCGTCATACGGATGTCTAGTTCGGTGACTGCGACTTCAACACCGGTTGCGGCAAGGGTGGCGAAAACATTTGCGAGAGAACTCTGAGACGGAGTAGACCCAACGATGAGATGGGATTGGGATCCGATTTGGGTAATCTTGACGCCTCTGGACTTCAGAGTATTGACCAATGTCACATAGGCCTGCATCTTTGCTCCTCCATAGTCCAGGTTATAGCTAGAACCGATCAGCAGAGAATGGAAGAGTTGTAAGAATACCTACTCGTTGGCAGCAAGTCCGACATCAGGGTCGGCAGCGGCGGCAGCCCGGAAACTATTGAAAAGTCAGTAGATATTCTTGTTAAAGGTGGCAACTTACGCGATATCCACATAGGTTTCTCCAATCGTTGTATAGAACACGCTCGTACGGAAAGTTCCGTCTTCGTTGAAGATCTCGTTTACGACGTCCCAGGTCTTGACGCTCCCCTTGAAATGAGTGACGAGATTTGTAACATGATTTCCGAGAATAGAGACAAGCGTCGCGTTGCTAAAGGCTCCGGATGTGACCCACGAGGGGAGTTGGCTGTGCCAAACTAATGAATCGGTCAGCTGAAATTCCACCCAAAGGAGCCTAACTCACCCAAGGTATGGCCACGGATTTGATAGCCATTTCCTTGAGCCCAAGTGACGAGTGCATCGGCAGCGGAAAACGTAAAGGTTCCTTGCGACGGCTCTGTGGCATCCCATTTCATCTTGTTTCCGGGTGTGATTTGACCTAAAAGGGGTTCAGGTTTTCGTCGGTAAGTGAGGGGACCACTGACCGAATAAGTGGGTATTATCAAGGAGGACCTTGTACGTTGCATTGGCTAACTCGTTTGTATCTACAGCCACACCAAAGTACTGCTTTCCGGCGGCTTTGGCGAGGTCATGGAGTGGCGCGAGGGTAGGAGTGGCAGATGCCGAAGAGCTGACGGTGGTAGAAGTACGGGAAACAGTTGAAGTCGATGTCACGGTCGTACGGCTGACAGTTGAAGACGATGTCACGGTTGTGCGGCTGACCGAAGTCGTACTGCTAGTTTTGGACGTGCTGGTCGATTTCAAAGTGCTTGTGCTACTTCGAATGCTTGATGTGGACGTCGGTCCCGGAATACACTATGTGGCTTATGAGTATGTGTACATCATACCAAGTCTTGTATTACTTGAGAGAACCCTGAACTGCGTCAGACCTTCGAGGCATCGGGTCAAAATCTCGGCTCACAGTCATTCCATTTTTGGCATATGGCACCAGAAGTACACGTAACATCTCCGGTATAGACAACCTGACTCAAGTTTAGATGAAATCCTACGACTGGAACATACTGACCCCTCCGCATTGACCTGACCCTTCGTTAGAATGCGTCCATTATGTAGGATAGAGTACGTACCCCATAGAGGAACAGCGGCCTGGACGGTTTGAAGAGAAAAGAGTGTAGCGGCGAAGGCAACCGAAACCACCTTCATGTTGGTGAGACGGGTGCTATCCGATTGGCATTTCTCATGAGTTACTAGGGAAGGGTATAAGTAGGATCATAACTCCGCTAATGATCGGCGAATGCGCGGAAGCATACTAGGGACAACATGACTCGAGAACCCAAGGAACCTCCGACGAAACACTTAATTAAGCTTCTCTGCGTAAAAATCCCGACATATTGCTCGCATGAGAAAGCATGATTATGTCGAAATCAAAGAATGTGCTGGGGAAAGAAGAGACTGACACCCTTCTCCTTCCCAATCGGCTCGTAGAGCGACCGGCGTCCCCAAGAAGTAGACTCTTTTCTGAGCAAAAGCTTTTAGTTTGACCGCGCTCAGAGAGCTGATTGGGTAGGAGAGTGAGCGACACCCACATGACACCATTCGCAGGGCAGTAATTTGCGGATCAAAGGAGCATCCAAATAGCTATTTTAGCGCTGGAAATCATTACATAAAAAGAGATTATGTATCATGGGCTCTGATATTACTACTCTACACCACTGCACCATCCACAAAACCGTAGAGATGGACTGAAATTCGAACCTATCATAGCAAAGGGATCAACTTATAAACTGCAGCTTTTCAGATCACGTCGAAGGGCCCTGCACCGTGACCATAGGTTCGAAGCCCTGCCGAATTTCTGTATCCACTCCCTTGATTCACCCCGAATACGAATTTTATTACTATATACTTCTTTGAATCTTACTTCCCACAGGTTCTTGATCACCTTCAGAGGCATTTCCGCTCAAGGTAAGGGCTATCAATAGTAGAGGAGACAGATGATTTGAAGATATGGGATAGGTCGATCTAGTAAACGCAACGGGTGGGACGGCCTGCACAATGGTAGACAAGTCATGTCTCGGTTCCTGTAGTGGCAGCAAGATTCGCCTGAACTACTCCCAGGTACTATGGCAAACGTAATATCAGAAGCAACAGTCAAAGATCGACTGGTAGAGCATTCGGTAGAGGTCCAGACTCCAAATATGCAGTGAGGCGTTACCTTTCGATTGTGTCGTCACTGGTTGACTAATGGGCCGGTAGTATATTGTCCCCAATTCAGCGTTGCTCTGATGACATCCTTCAACTCATACTCGAGAAATGCATGCTTAACGAATGCATACCTGTTGACGGCGCAATCGATGACAGTGAAGCATTTAGGACATCCGTGAGACTCTCTCACGTGTGTAGACGGTGGCAGGCAGTGGCAATCTCGACGCCATCGTTATGGAGCAAGGTCACATTTAGCCTAAACATTGATACCGAGAAAAACAATTCATTGGCTGAAGTATTTACCACCCGCGTCAAGCATGTTCCCGCAGATATTCGCATCCACGCGTATAGTGACTACATGGATGAGGAACAATTGGCCGAAATAGGATCCTCCAAATACCCATATCTTCGTCGTGCCGTCTCAGTTGCCTCCATCGATACGCTTACCTTGGCGCTAGTCGGTGAGGCAGACTTTGGCGCATTTCTCATTGGAAATATGGATATAATCTACGATAAAGCGATAAAAAATCTCTCGATAGAGGTCAACAAGTACACCGAAGAGCCAATCGACTCATTTCTGGCCAAATGTCTTCCTATGCGAAAGCTATCACTCCTGAACCTGAGGTTCGGATCAACGCTTGATAAACACCTTTCTCTGGGCCTTTCCAACGTTACAGAGCTCTCTATATCAATGGTTTATCACTTTTCGCTATTGTCACTCCTACGGATTACTCCAATGATCCAGAAGCTCGAACTGTGGGACTATTATACAGAGAATCGAGAGCATTCGGATGAAGTTTGGGAATCGTCAACATTGCGTAGCCTTTCAGTATTTTATTCACGCATTCCCTGGGAACATATAAGATGCTCCCAGCTCACTCGAATCCAATTTCCTAAGTACTGGGATTGGAATCACGCCAGCTTTTGGCCGTTCTTAAAGCGAACATCAACCATCACTGAATTCAGTGGGGGCTTTATACGACAGTCTCAAGATTTTGTTCGCTTGGCAAACACAGCTCCCCAGATCACCTCTCTAATCGCTGAGGCTCGTCCAAGTCTACTGGAACTACTCACCGACTCTCAGGATTTTGAGTTACAGGAGCCGGCATTTCCAGATTTGATTCGTCTAACCATCCTTATTTGGGACGATAAGACCCCTTATTCCACATTGGAGAAGTTTATTCGTGCTCGATGCCTACCTCGTGATCATATTCTGAGCACAATGGACCATCGTCTCGCCCATCCGCTCAAAGCCCTCACAGTTATTATCGAACGCGACCTTTTTAACGGTCAGTGGAAACGGCTCCTCGAGGCCAATTTCATTCGCATCAGTTTCTCGTTACGGAGTGTCTTTTTGATTGACGTGGCCTCCTACTTCCTGATGTGGAGAACGGCCAGAGTGCATGTATGGGACAACTTTGACGTCCAGCCTCTGGAGTTGTAAAGCGCTAATATTCGCATGTACATCAGGGATTCCTCAAATAGGGGCAGGTTTACTCCATTCGAGGTTTACCACAACGCCAGCCCTTAACGTGCCCTTGCACTCGCACGACGTAAAAGTAAGCCCAAGTAAAACGAAAATCGCTCTACTTCACTCCATCACCCGCAAAACACGTAGGGGTGATCTGGGATTCGAACCCAGGGCCTCCCGCAATCATGGCCAATGAGTTTCGGCCGGAAAAACCCGAAGCGGGAATCATACCACTAGACCAAACACCCGATTTAATCTATGGGAGTCGTACGAATACGATAGCGCATATCCCCAGCCCGCGGTCGATGGCCCAGGGCTGG